TTTGAGGCCTAAGAAGCCATGGTATTTTCAGTTACCTCATATGCATGCGAAAACTGGACAATGAATAAGGAAGACGGAAGAAGAATTGATGCCTTTGAATTATGGTGTTGGCAAAGAATATTGAATACACCATGGATTGTCAGAAGAACGAACAAATCTGTCTTGGAAGACGTATAGCCAGAATACTTCTCAGAAGCAAGGATGGTCAGACTTTGTCACACGTACTTTGGATGTGTTGTCAGGAGGGACCAGTCCCTGGAGAAGGACATCATGCTTAGCAGAAGGTCATCAAAAAAGAGGAAGACCATCAACAAGATAAACTGACACAGTGACTACAACAATGGGTTCAAACACAGCACAGATTGTGAGGATGGAGCAGGACCCAGCACCTAACAACAACAACATATCTGTGGTTATAATCTCATTTGAGAATGAGTTTTCTTTGTTATGTTAACGAGCCCATATCAGTGTAGGGTGTGTTTTAAGCCAATCACCTTTGAGATATAAAAGGAGCTGATTAGGACAGAGGAACAAGCAGAAACGGGAGAAAACAGGCATCATGCCACATGAAGATCACCAAGGAGCCAAAGAATAAGTACCTTCCCCCAGAGCTGACGAGAGAGAAAGCCTTCCCCTAGATCTGGTGCCCTGAATTTGGACTTCTAGCCTCTTAAACTGTGAGAAAATAAATTTGTTAAAGCCATCAACTTGCGGTATTTCTGTTATAGCAGCACTAGGTAACTAAGACAGTGCTGTACTAGGTAATAGTCAAAACCCTGCGTTCCATTTAAAGGTAAAGCCGCTTCCCTCCCCAGCTCAGTCCTGCTTCAGGTAGACAGATGGTAGTGAAAACAAAACGGTAGGGAGGGGTTGTCTCTATTCCCTCACTTTTCACTTTTACCAGCCGAGTAAGATCTTTCCTGCCCCTGATCTTTCACCTCCATTTCTGACCCCTTGGGAATGACTGACTAGCACCCAACAGTAGTTTCCTCGAACCAGGTATAATTTCTCTCATGAGTGTTTTGAGGATTCTTCAGAGAACCCCCTCCCCCCCCCACACACACACACCCTACCCTAACTGCCGGGAACTTCTCATTCCCAGTTCCCTTGGTGCAGGCGAATGAGCTCTGCTTAACGGCTGGCTGGTTACATACTGCTCTTCCCTCAGACACTGAACATCCATCATTACACCTCCTCAAAGGAGTTCTCTTGGATGGATATAAAAGAAAGATGTTCCATGCTGATTTATTACATTATGATTAGAATCTGACAAGCAAGAACCACCCATTCATTAAAATAGATAGCAAGTGCACACACATGCACGCACACGCACACGTAAACATACATATAGTCCTGCATCACTTAATGTCCATATGTTCTGTGAAACAGGATACAATGTAATTAGGACATTGTGGGAATATGCCTAAATTGCTAGCAATAAGCATTCACTGACTTCCACCTTCATGTTGTTTAATAACCTTTTGTTTCACTTCTAAATTGGTACTCTCCTTTGCCTCTTGCTGCTGCAAATTTCTCAATGGAAATTTCAAACCTCCGCTTCCCTCAAATGTTCCATGACTCTCTTCCACTTTTCAGAGTAAGTAGAAACCATGAAACCAATAATTGCATAAATATCCTCTAGTTACAGTGAAAGAGATTAATTCCTCCTGCTGTAAGCCAGTTTCTTCACCTATACTCTAAATCCCAACTTCTCTCATCTACTCAGGGGTAATTTACACTATAAAGGAGAGACTAGAAAATAGCAGATGCCAAGCCATGCATGGACACTATGTCAGTAAATGTAACAGACAATATATTTTCATATTGCTTTCCCTTTCAGCAGCATTTGAAAATGCATACCTGAAAAAAAAAATCATGAATCGCCACCTATCATTCTGACTTCTCAGGCTTTTACATATGTGACTACCTCTATTTACTCTGTTCTGGGACCACAGACCTATATGTGGTCTGACGTTGCCCTAATAGGCGATATGTGGCGCACGACTCTACATTAAGCAGTCCTGGGGGCACAACGGTTAAATACTCAGCTGCTAACCAAAGTCAACAGTTCGAACACACCAGCAGCTCCTTGGAGAAAAGGCCTGGAGATCTGCTCCCATAAAGATTTCATCACCCACCCATTGCTTTGTAAATCTTTACAGAAGTAGACTGTCACAGCTTTCTCCCTCAGAGTGGCTGGTGGATTCGAACTGCTGATCTTTCAGTTAGCAGCAGAGTGCTTAACCACTGTGCCACCAGGGCTCCTTCCCATAAAGATTACAGCCTAGGAAACCCCATAGGGCAGTTCTACTCTCTTATATTGGGTCGCTATGGGTCAGAATGGACTCAACAGCACATAATAACAATACACACACACACGTATATATTACTTCAATGCCCAGTTCATATCCATTTTTGTTATCTAATTTCCACTGATACTTTCCTCAGTCCCCTAAAATGGGTATGTGACTGTGTATCCCATTTTCCCTGCCTTTGTTCCACTGAGTTCAAAGTCATTAACTTACTGGATACACCATGAGATGAGCAAGGTTTTCCATGTTTTTGTTGTTGTTAGCTAGCATTCCTACTCATGGCAACCCCATGTGTGCAGAGTAAACAGATCCCCAGGCCCCCAGCAGACCTTCCGAGGAGCCTCTGGGTGGGTTTGAGCTGCCAACCGTTGAGCTAGCAGTTGAGAGCTTAACCATTTGTCCCACTCAACTTAAAGTTTTACACAGATGCCTTCAGGTCAATAATCAGACCTAGAAAGAGGCCACAGGTTTCTGTTATCTCTTGATTTTTAAATAAAGATGAAAACTGCAGTGGCTAGATAATGTTGATACAGACAGAAAAAATTATAAGTTGTAGTGGACATGGGTCTTCGGACATCTGCCTTTGATAACACAGAAATGATGCCTTGTACCTATATGCTACTTTTTCCACTTTTAAAGTGCTAACAAAGCACTGATTCTCAAGCTTCATTAGGCATTAGAATCACCTGTGGAGCTGGTACAACAATTGAAATTCCTGAACCCCACCTCCAGAGATTCTGACCCAGTAGGTAAGGGTTGGCTGAGATATTTACATTTTTAACAAGGGCCTCAGTAGAGTGTGATGCAGGTGGTTTGAAGACAAACTTCTGGGAGATTTTAGCAAAGCCTTTCAGAGCAAAAGAAAGAATATTAAAGTTCCTATCCCTACTTTGGAAACCCTGGTGGCATACTGGTTAAGAGCTATGGCTGCTAACCAAAAGGTTGGCAAGTTCAAATTCACCAGGTACTCCTTGGACACTCTATAGGGCAGTTCTTCTCTGTCCTGCAGGGTCACTATGAGTCAGAATCTACTCTACGGCACTGGGTTTTTTTTTTTTAATCCCTACTTTAAGGAGCCTTGGTGGCACAGTGGTTAAGCATTCAGCCGCTAACCAAAAAGGTCAGCAGTTCAAACCCACTAGCTGCTCTGCCAGGATACAGATGTGGCAGTCTGCTTCCATAAAGATTTACAGCCTTTGAACTGGTCCTATGGAAGCAGTTCTACCCTGCCCTACAGGGTCACTATGAGTGAGTCGGACTGCAGCAGGATCCCTACTTTGCATCATACTAGCATGTGGCAAATCATTTAATCACTGAGCCTCAGTTTCCTACAAATAACTACCACTGAAATATCAGATGAGAAGTGTAAATAAAGAGCTGTGAGAAACTGAAGGAGGGGAAAAATCATTGTCAATATGGGGTTGGTCAGGGAAGCCTTTAGATCCCGCCTTCCATTTTTCACAGCCCTTTAGTTACACTTCTCTTCTGATATTTCAAGAGCAGCTATCTGGATTCTCATTAGTGTCTCTACATAAATGTTAAGTTCCTGAAGAATACGGTCACTGTTTTGTTCATCTTTGTATTCTCCATTGTACCTAACACAACTCATTGCAAAGAATAAACATTATTATAGTTACTGTTAAATGTAGAACTGCAAGTTTACTTCTTAGTTCTTTCTGTTAAAATAAACAATGAGGTGAAAGTTTGAGGGCACCAAAAAACTTAGAGATGAATCAAAGGCTCATTCTATTGCCCCTTTATTCTTCACGGAAAGCAATTTTACACAATGTTCAGCTTGATGTTTTTAAACACCTGAGGACATTTAAATCTCCCATCGTGGGACGACTCAAAACTCAAAGAGGGGGAGTTATTGACCGTTTTTGAGACTGCTGTTGGGACAGAAATAACTGGCTGTGATAAAGTCCATTAACTCTTTTGAGGTGGATTCAGCATGCAGATAATCAAGAATTGTGCAAAATTGTGGCCAGAGAGTTCTCCCACTAACTTTGCAAACATTACCATGTTTTATTTGTTGCAATCTGTGAAATTAATCTTGGGAGAGAGGCCACACAGATTTAGTATGATTTATGTATAATAGACATCAGTCTCAATTTGCTAATCCCATTTGCGTCCTAGAAGCATGGGGAAAAAATTAGGTCTATAAAAAGGATTTGCCCATCATTCTCCCAGAATAACTATACATTATATCATTTTAACTTGATAACAATTTATGATATCCATTCACTGGGGTCTCTAGAGTCACAGACCTGAGTTCAAATTCTGACTGTGCTGTTTTCCTGCTGGGTGACCCTGAGAAAGTTAAATCCTTTGAGCCCTGGGATCGACTTCTGCAAAATGGGTATAATGGCTTAGTTATCCCATGGATTTGTTCAGAGGAATAAATGCAATGATGAGGTACTCAATGTCTGGCACATTGCATGCGTCCCGTAAGCGGTAAGCGGAGGACGAATCAGTGGTTCTTTCGTGTCTTTGAAGGGCACCCTAGTGAAGGAGGGTAAGGCAGTGAACACAAAGAGACTTACTACGCGATTCCTAGGCTTTTTCAACACGGTTCTCCGCTGAGAAAACGCCCCACGGTGCTGCCCTCATCTAGGGACAGACCCCAGATGGAATGGAGAATCCCAAAACGTTGTGCACATCCGGTGGTTGACCTGCAGACACCAGCGCCGGAACCCAACCTCCGCGGCTCAGGTTTCCTCCACTTCCGTCGGCGCCCTCTGCGGATGAGCGGGCGTGGATACAACTTCCGGCCGGACTGAGAGGTGCTGGGAGGTGATAACGGTGAAAGTCTAGTGTGTGGTTCCCTTGGTCGGCGTGGCGGTATCTCCATTGTCACCGTGGGAAGTCTGACGCCCCCGGACGCGCGTGAGCATGTGGAGGCAGCTGGCTCGCGCCAGTGCGCCACTCCTGCGGGTGCCCTTGTCGGGTGAGAACTCCCCTTCATCCATAGAGAAAACTACACTCCTTTTTCTCCGCACCCCCCAATCTTATGCTTCCTATACCCAAAGAAGGCTCTGTGTATGGTTGCTGAAGCCCTCCTTAGAGGGTTTCGCCTTCCCGACGCCATCCCTACACAGGGATTCGTGCGAAGGGATCACAGCCGCGTATGGAGTCGACGTCCGGAGACCCAGCAGGTCTCTTTGGGGACCTCGGCCTGTGAGCCCATTTAGTGGAACCTGCGTTCCACCTTTTAAAATACTTCCGTCAGGATTTACTACCTTTGTCACAGATTGTACTAGGACCCGGTCTTGATCCTTTCATGTTTAACTTCATTTGTCTTTATAGGTTCTTGGGCGGCCTCGCCCGCCAGTGCCGGCCTAAAGACGCTGCTCCCAGTGCCAACTTATGAAGGTGAGAGCGTGTCTGTCATTTTCATGTTAGTAAGTCTTTTTTCTGATGGAACCCAGCACAGAGTAGATGAAGATATGTTGTTAGGTGCCGTCAAGTTGGTTCTGACTCGTAGCGACCCTATGTACAACTGAACGAAGCACTGCCCAGTCCTGCACCATCCTCACAATCCTTTTTATGCTTGAGCCTATTGTTGCAGCCACTGTGTCCGTCCATCTCGTTGAGGGTCTTCCTCTTTTTCGCTCACCCTCTACTTTACCAGGCATAAGGTCCTTCTCCAGGGACTGATCCCTCCTGATAACACGTCCAAAGTATGTGAGATGTAATCTCACCATCCTTGCTTCTAAGGAGCATTCTGGTTGTACTTCTTCCAAGACAGATTTGTTTGTTCTTTTAGAAGTTTATGGTATATTCAGTATTTGCCAACATCACAATTCAAAGATACCAGTTTTTCTTTGGTCTTCCTTATTCATGTCCAGCTTTCACGTGCATATGAGGCAATTAAACACCATGCCTTGAGTCAGGCACATCTTAGTCTTCAAGGCAACATCTTTGCTTTTCAGTACTTTAAAGAGGTCTTTTGCAGATTTGCTCAAGGCAGTGCATCTTTTGATTTCTTGATTGCTGCTTCCATGGGAGTTGATTGTGGATCCAAGTAAAATGAAATCCTTGACAACCTCAGTCTTCTCCGTTTATCATGATGTTGCTTATTGGTCCAGTTGTGAGGTTCTTGTTTTATGTTGAGGCGTAATCCATACTGAAGTCTGTGGTCTTTGATCTTCATCAGTAAGTGCTTCAAGCCCTCTTCACTGTTAGGAAGCAAGGTTGTGAAGGGAAGACAACAGGAGTGCTCTTGGGCTTCCTGTCCCCATTCACTAATTCAGTAAATGTTTATTGGGGGCATACTACGTGCCAACCAGGGTTCTAAGCACTAGGGATAAAGAAAAGGGGCAGGGGAGATCCCTGCTCTTATGAAGGAAATATCTAGTGGAATATTTCCCTTAGGGCCTACCACTGGTGCAGGGGACATGTTCAACCCTCACCTGGGGCCATTTGGCCTCAAATTTGGATTTTTAATGTTCTCTCTGAGGTTACATATATAGAGTCATTTAAAAATATGTGAAAAGCATTAATTTGTTAAATATAAACATTTAAGGTACGTAACTATTTTGTAAATCTGATTTTTTTTTTTTTTTTTAATACTCTGAACCTCAAAAAGAAAAAAGGAAAAAGGCCTAGATCTCTGAGGGCCTTATCTTCTACACGTAGTTGTTAAACTATGCTGTGCCCTATAAGTATGTACACTCATGTGTCGCCTGACATCCACAGTACATTGTTGGAGATAGGATGTTATGTGATTTGGAAATTGTGCGAACGAGCTTCTTGCCTTAGCAGTGATTGTCAGCATGCTGAGAGGGGTTCACTTTTATTTTGGTCCTCAAGCCGCGTCATTAACAATTTCTCCATACCTGATACAGGTCCCTTGCACATTTTCATTAGCTTTGTAGCTTTCAGTGGAGCTGATCCTTTAACAGCCTAGAGAAAATTTCTGTTTTTGAGGATCTTCATGCTTGTCAAGTGTGACATGACTAAATCGTGAGCCATAGCATTCACTGATTTTCCACCTTCGTGTTATTTAATAATCTTTTATTTCACTTCCAATTCTCCTTTGCTTCTTGCTGCTGCTATCACTGGCACTGGTTTTGCTGCGTTTGGGAGCCATGATGCACTTCACAGTAATATTTCCAAAAGAAAGTTAAACAGATAATGCCACAGCACTCGAGACGCGCAGACCATGGACATATACGCAGTTGAACGTTGCCCAAACAGAATTATGTGGCACGTGACCATATTGACTTGTTAAAGTATTACTGTACTAAATTACCTAGTCACTTCATATAAAAGCTGAGGGGGAGTTTTATCTCATTTTATTTTAAACATTCCTTCTCTTTTATATTTGACTCCATTATAGAGCCATGTTTGTTTTACCACAGACATGTTTAAAATGACTTACAAGTTAACATTTTTTTTCTGAATTGTCCAGTAAAGATCATAGTTTATGAAGATACAGCATGTCTGGCCTGCAGTTGGGCCCGTCCACCCTCAGCCAGCACAGTGTTGCACATTGCAGGAGCTGGGCAGGTCACGGCATGAAAGGTCCGATTATATTAAGGGAAGAGCACTGATCAGAGGATTCCTGGGGTGTGAATTTCCCAACGAGAAAGTGGCAGTGCTGGAGAACGTAAATATTTTCACGTACAGTATACTTCTTTTTTCCCTTCAATATGCCCATTAACGTCCATTAACTTTTTTTAAAAAGGTGTTTTATTCTCTAGGTTTCAATCTATAGTCTCTAGGCCTCTTATTCTTATAAAACAGAGATAAAAATACTATATCTAATGTTCTGTGACCTGGGTGATAGTTACATGGATGTGTTCATATATTCATCTCGTGATAATTCACTGAGCTATACATTTTTTATTTGGCTCTTGGATGTGTTAAACTTTAATAAAAGTTCAAAACTTTAAAAAAAAAAAAAAAAAGGCCCTAAGAAAATACCAAGGCTGTAAAATTGTTTTCAGGGTTAAATGAGATGATGTATGTAAAGCATTTAGCTCAATGTCTAGCACACAGTAAACATTCACACGCCCCTTAAAAAAAAAAAAAAAAAAGCAAGCTAGTGCTATTCTCTTGACAGTGTCTTATACACTATACTTTCCCAAAAGTTGGGCATGCAGTAGACATTTAATCAATCATTTTAGTTTGCTGTCTTCAAAGAAACGTTATTTGCATTAACCACTGTCAGAGCCAAAAGATTCCAATGTCAGTAAAAGCATCCACAAAGTAATAGGCCTGCCTTTGGAATTATCATTCAGTGGTAACTTCCTTTTAGGACTTTCACTCAATTGTTACCTTTTTAGGAATAAAGTAGATCTTTTGAGATGTGTACTTTTATTTATTCTTGGTTATCTGTGCTCCTTTTAGATGTTTCCATCCCTGAGAAACCTAAGCTTAGATTTGTTGAAAGGGCACCACTTGTGCCGAAAGTAAAAAGAGAACGTAAAAACCTGAGTGACATACGGGGACCCTCCACGGAAGCCACTGAGTTCACAGAAGGCAATTTTGCAATCTTGGTGAGTTCAGCAACAGGCAGCTACAAAATGGAAGCCAAGGATTAATGAAATCTTAACTCCTTGAGTTAATTCTTTTCTCCATAGTTTTTGTTAGACCTGCCACCAGTTGCTTTTTAAACTGATGTGCACAGGCTGCTGGGTACCCAGAAACATTTGTGTTATATATATTTTATGTAGAATGAAAGTGATGTAAAAGCAGAAGGACCTACCCAATTTGCCAATAATCAGACCATCAGATCTTTTCAGATCTCTGATTAAAATATCCATGACTTAGGATATGGGATAGCTGTTTCTTTACTTACTGCATAGCTTCCTTGAAGACTGCATACCAGTAGCTAAATAAATGGATGTGGACTAGAGTTTATGCTCCACCAGGCAGGCAGAGTGGTGTTCTAAAATCCTCTTCCCACTGCCTGCATGACCAGCTCCTACCCACCTCAGAACCTCAGGCCCACTCTTCTCATCCTCACTCTGTTCCAGCCACACTGGCTTTTACTCAAACTCACCAAGTCCTCTGCTGTATCGGCGTCTTCACATAAACTGTTCCTCTGCCAGGAACATCTCTGTTTTTTCTCTTGGCTGGTCCTCCTCATCATTCTGGCCTCAGCTTTAAATATCTTCTCAAAGAGGCTTTCCCTGGCCATCCATTGAAGTGGGTCCACCCTTGTTCTTCTCTATGACCGTATCCTAGCTCTTTCTCCATAGTATTTATTAGAACTTAATATTTTTATTTTTATGTGTATTATTGAAGCCACAGTTATTACAAAAGAAGAGGCATTAGATCCCGTAAGAGATATCTAAGCTCCTGTGTATTTTTCTCATTTACTTTTAGGCACTGGGTGGTGGCTACCTCCATTGGGGTCATTTTGAAATGATGCGCCTGACAATCAACCGCTCTATGGACCCCAAGAACATGTTTGCTATATGGCGAGTACCAGCTCCCTTTAAGCCCATCACCCGCAAGGGTGTGGGGCAGCGCATGGGGGGAGGCAAAGGTGCCATTGATCACTACGTCACACCCGTAAAGGCTGGCCGTCTCATAGTAGAGATGGGTGGGCGCTGTGAATTCAAAGAGGTACAAGGTTTCCTCAACCAGGTTGCCCGCAGATTGCCCTTTGCGGCAAAGGCTGTGAGCCGCGAGACTCTGGAGAAGATGCAGAAAGATCAAGAGGAGCGAGAACGTAACAACCAAAACCCCTGGACCTTTGAACGCATAGCCACTGCCAACATGCTGGGGATACGGAAAGTACTGAGTCCATATGACCTGGCCCAGAAGGGGCGATACTGGGGCAAGTTCTACATGCCTGAGCGAGTGTAGTGAGTGTGGAAAATAAATGTATGTAGGCTATCAAGAGAGAAGGAATCATCTGCATTTTTATTCCCATCAGCTCACCCTTCAAGGTTTGTGTGGCCCTTAAACATCATAATTAAGGAGCAGTATATGAGTAGATGACTTTTGAAAATGTGTATTATCTACTGAATTTTTTTTTTTAAGTATACATATTTATAATAAAGTCTGAGCTTCATGTCAGGAAATAACTTCTCACTGGTCACTCTTTATCCTTTAAGTGGTTAAGAAACAGGCCTCATTGGCTGTTAGGGGCTCTGGTTCTCCTGAGTGTAAGATGCATGTTTTCAGGGCTAAAGCAAATGTTTGCATCCCTACCTCTGATGCAAGTCAGACTTGAGGTCTGTACTACATTTTATGTGTACACCCTTCACAAGCTGGTTTCTATGGGAGTTTACTAGTTACAAACAAACTCAGTAATGTTTTTGGACTAGGAAAGAAAAAACAACAGTTCATCAGTTAATTGACTCAACAAATATTTATTGATGCCCAGCTACCCATCACAGTCTTGGAGGGAAGGATGTTGGACAATATGGCAAGGAGTATACTCTCACCTTTTAACAAAAGGAACCAATAAAAACGAGTTGGAATTGTGTGGCCTTTCCTTGGTCTGAAGTCCACTGCCGATAGTATTTGACTCTATCTTTGTGTCTCTGCAGGATCTAGTACTATCATGTGCCAGAAAGCACTCAAATTATTGCTAGATGAACGAGGACCCGTGTGATTCAAACCCCATGGTTCCAACTCCCCGTTTGCCTTTAACAAGATTAATCTATTTTTCAGAGCTGGCCAGTAGTAGTCTTCTATCCCCTATTCAGATTAAGGAAATACAACTTGATAGAAATACCAGACCATTTGCTTTTTAATATCCCTTATCCCTCTCTTTCACTTTCTTCTAAGATCTCCAGCAAAAAAAAAAAAAAATTTATTTTCAAAGGTACAAATTTAAACAGTCCTCGAGGTAGACACTGATTTTTAATCTATTTTAGCGAACTTCTGGTAATGTAACTAATCACTGAGTCACTTGTGTTAGAACTCATATTCATGTAGCTAGTTTTAAAGTTGAACACACTTGAACCTTGAACTGGGGACAGTGTTTGGAACAGTTTCTTGTACGCACTGTTGGCCAACAAAAAGTCAGTTGCAGCTACCAACATGAATCCGGTAAGAAGGGACGTAAGCAATAACCTCATTTCACCTTCTTTGTCACCTAATATCTTAATCTGTTTTCTTTTATGGTTCATAATCTGATCTGCTTTATAGAGTGTGGTACTGATGACTTTTTGCCATTTCAATCAGCATAAATCTTTTGGGTCCGTTTTTGTTACTGAACTCAACAATCCCGCGGCCTGTCTTCACAGAATGAGAGGCTTTGATAGTAGACTTCCACCATCACCACCCATGGAAAAAGCACATTAAAGTACATGTTGTGATAAATGAGGCGACCTGTTGTAGCATTTTTGCATTAGTGAGTCAGCCTATTCCCAGTCAGCTTTATAAAACCTCTGACACTAAAACCATCTTCCCAGAGATGCCTGAAAGGGTTAAGAGTCAAATCCAAGGACTCTTTCATGGGCAGAATTAAGAGTTTAATTACAAATAATTAAGTCAACAAATATTTACTGACCACCTGTAAGTGGCAGGCACTGTGCTAAGCACTGGAGACACAGCAGAGAGCAAGACAGGCTTGGTGCCCGTCCTTAGATCATCTTCACTTAAGGACTACTATCAGACCCTGCAGAAGAAACTAGATGTAGGGTTGATAAGAGGTGAGGCCTAGAAGAGCAGAAGTAACAAATGCCCTGATCTTGTTGATCAACTTAGAACAGTTCAAATAAGATCCTGATGTATTGGGTGTTCTACAGTATGTGCCTCTTCACAGCCATACCCTCAGGCAGACTCTTAAGTATCATTTCCTAAACAGGTACTCATGCCTTCTCTACCCTACAGTCCCTTTAAACCATCCATCCCACCAGCTTTATATTACTGGGCTCCATGTTCCTTCGCCCTTGCCCCCACCCAGTTCTATATTTTCCTAAGTCTGTTCTCCCTTTGCATAACTTTTCATAGTTGATCGACACCCTGTGTCACGAAAGGTTTCATAATGGAAAGGGGAGTCACTGTTGAGTCTGCAGTGGAGAAGTGATGGCACCACAGAGATGGAAGAAGGATTACAAATGCCAGTCGAGGATCCATCTGTCGGGGCTGAGGAAGATAATAGAAGAATCTATTATCTTAAAAATCACAGGTTGCATAGCATGGTGTTTGAGGCCAGGTCACCAAGTCCCTCTTTTACAGGGGTAAGAAACTAAAGAGGCTGCATTAACTTGTCCTAACCTTGTAAAGGATGCAGTCATTTGGGTTTACTGTATGGTCCTCTTTCTAAGAGTTCAGGGTGCTTCTAATGCAAGAACTATTTCTCCTTTTGCCATTCCCAGATACCAAGGCCCAAATTTTGCAGTAGGACATCGACATCCTTGGCCTGTACAAAGCATTCTGCTAGCAGACCTGGTAATGGGACAGACTGCCATCTTTTGTCTCCGTCTACTTGCTACCAACTCATTCTTCACTCGTTTTTCTCTGAAATATCCTTTCCTTAACTTTCTCCAACCTTTATCCCAGCACCTATTCCCACCAGACACCCTAGGACATGAGAGTTTCAAATAAGTAATAGTGGGCTCAACCCTCCCCATTGATGGCTCACCTTTTTCAGGCAAATATGCCCCCAATGGTAGAAGCTAAGATGATCACAAGGATAACACAGCAGATCATGATCATGATCTTCTTCTGCTCATCCAGACAAGGAAAGAAAAAGCACGTGAGAAACAACATCACTGCGCAAATCAGAGTTCCAAAAGAAGGGAAACAAAAGGTGGATCTGGACAAGGAAGAGGATATGAAGGACAAGGGAACACAAGGAGGAAAGAGGAGATGGATCTGGCTACTAAAACCCAGAATGTTAACGGGAATGTTACCTCCAGATGAGAGACTGAGAAGGTAGATCAGCAGGACCCTCAGAGAATGTTAAGTATGTCGTCTGTCTTCCCAGGTACCATAACAACAGATCCCTCCCATTTCCCTCTAGAGCCAAAGACCCTTAGGGAATGAACTGAATTCGAGGGGAGCACCTCAAATCTGAAACTCAAATAACATCACATTGCATTCTCTGAGAGTTATGACCATTTTCAAAGATTAGACAACTTTTAACCTGTCCGGTCCAGTACATGGTTAAAAAAATTTGAATCCCCATCCAAAATCACACATGGAGGCATCCAAACACTACGTATTTTGCAGGGAGATAGAGCCAGAACTGTTTCATGATCAACATAAAGTCATTTATTTTTAAATTAGAAATAAAATAATCAAGTTTACATTTTTTTAAAAAAAATACAAACAAAATCTTTCACATGTTGTATTCCAAAACATAAGCCCTGGGCCTTGATCTCAGAGGAGAGCAAAGGCCTGTGATTAGAGTTGGTCCTTGTTGCTAGAGCCAATCCCCTGTCTGACATCATAGCCATGAGCAAGAAGGGCAGTCCCTCAGCTCTGTCTGAATACTGGGTGATGACTGGAAATTAAGTAGATCTTGCAAAGGAGGCTAATGGGCAGTGCCTGGATTAGGATGCTCACCATATCCTAGAAAGCCATTAAAGTCAAAGCTGAAATATACCTGATACTCAAAATCAGGGAGACTGCTAGAGACCAGCAGGGAATCTAAGGGGCTTACCACTGGGTCAGCAGAGTCACCAGAAAATTCCCAAGGCTGTTGCTTCCTCCACAGTATGAATTAGGGGAGGCAAAGAACCTGTCAAGCTCATTAGCCTGGTAGCAGGAACAGCTAGTTAGCAGTCTTTGGTCTCCCCTAGCTGACTCAGCCCTGGAGACAGGACATCCCATAAATCACTTGGATGATACCAAATTGCTGTGGGATGTTCTCAGGGCAAGGTGGGGAGAGGTGTCAAAACACATCACACCTTCTGTCTGCTAAGCAGAACAACTTAACGGGGATCAATTAAGTCCTTGTCCCAAAGATTTATGATTCTTCTAGTACTCATTCAGGAAATAGGTTTCTTGATGACGTGGGAAGATTGAATTTCTACTGTGGTTCATTTGCAGGTAAGCAAATATCCCTTACCTTATTTTTAGCCTAGCTCAGGGTTATTTTTTTGAGGTCATAATATCCTCCACTTCCAGTTTCCCACTTTCTGAGGGACACATGCATATATAAGGACATCTGTCTCACCCACACACGATTATAAAAATACATCTGGAACACATGAAATGAGTGACTGAATGCTTGCACCAGTCTGACGAAACATTCCCAGAGCCTGAGATGCAAGCACCTTGCCGTGGCCCAATTTTAAGTCCCTGGTTATTTTTGGCCTCAAGGCAATGGCTTCACAAAGCATTGCTCTTAACAGTGAACAGCCTGTTTCCAAGCCTCAGACATGGAAACAAATATCCCACGCCCTCAGCCTTTGCAGATGGTAACCTCAGATGACTGAATCATCCTGGTCCCTCCTTGAGTAAACATGAGAACACAATATAGGCAGAGTTTGAAGTTGGCCCCCAAGCTGAACATACAAAGAGTTTAAGACTGAATCTCAAGTCAGCTTCTCAGACCAACATGACATCTGTCAGACCCTCATGTTTTCAGGACATAGGGACAACAAACTGTGAGGATTGATGCCCTGCCAGGCAGAAGACTCAGTTCGAAGCCTTACGATTGCCAAAAACTTGGAAGAATCCCTTGTTAAAGATACTCCCCTAAAAATACATATGTATTACAATTTCTAGGAGAACGCTCCATGAGGTAGAAAATAACAGCACCTTAGAAGGATTTCCAAGGTGCAATGCCTAATTTGACACCAGAGGGAGGAAAGAGAAGCTGGGTTGGTCCACACAGTCCAGGAGAGAAGGTACTTCAGAGCTGGTGGGGCAGGAGAAGGTTTTGGGAACTCAGGGTTGCCATCAGGCAGATTAGATTCCTCCAGGGCTATATTGTTGGCTGGATCAGGTCCAAGGATGGTTACAAGGAAACAAAGGAATGGGTCCCACTCGCTCTCAGGAAGGCCATTCAAACTCCAATCCCATCTGAAGACAAGGGAGGCCACCCCAGGTTGGAGTAAAATCAGGTTCTAAGAGAGGCAGGGAAAGAAGGAGCTGATCAGTGTACGCGATGACATGGAATAACAGCAGGAAGAATCAGCCACAAACCCAGAAGGTGGAGAGGTAAGATCAGAAATAACTGGGAAAAAGAGAACAATGGAAACTCAACACTAAACCTGAAACATCCAGTAGATATACCCAAGACAGGACCTGGAATTACATCCCACTGGACAGGGAACAAAAAGCCCTATGTTAGATGCTGTCAGATCGATTCCAACTCATGGCAACTCCATGTGTTGGAGCAGAACTGCTTCGTAGGGTTTTCTTGGCTGTAATCTTAATGGAAGGAGATCACCAGGCCTTTTCTCCCAAAGTACCACTGTGTGGGTTCAAACCACCAATCTTTAGGTTTGCAGTTGAACGCAAACTGTGCCACCTAGCAAGCTTAAAAGCCCTATAATGAGAGAGAAAAAATAGGACAAATCTCTGAGTTGTTTATCAGCCTTCACGCAGGCTGTTGTATGCCCTGGAGGGACTTGTCAGTGGAGAGGCACAATCTTTGCAGGGACAACAGCAGCACCTCTCTTGAATGTAAGCTTCAGAAGCTTTCTGGTACTTGAACCTTCTCCACGACTCCCTCCCTTCTCTTGGAAGGTAGAAGGGCACAGTGAAAAGCAGTCAGTTCATACTAGCTATGTGTCCAAGAAGCTTGGACAAGGTTCTTAACCTTTTTGAGCTTCAAAGAGTTTCCTCATCTGTAAAATAGGGACAGTGACATCTACCATACAGCAGTAGCTGGCACACAACTGGAATTATAAATGTAGGTTGTCTTCTTTCCCTCCTCTTTAGAGGCCTCTCTCAGGTCACTTGGGGTGAGGGGGGTGGCATCCAGACTTATGTAACAATCAGTCTTTATTAGGAAATACAGAATAAACTATGGTAAACAACTCAACAGCTGCTCTGCAACTTAGCATCTTAGAGACGGGAGTTAATCAACTATATATACAAATTGATCTCATCTTAAAAATTATATATATTATATATAAATTATAGCATATAAATTTATATAAATAGGTCTCATCTTGAAAAATTATTCATTTACATTCTGAATTCCTTTAGTTAGGAATGGTAAGAGGCACTATGAGCTTGTAAGACATATTTCATCTAAGGATATGGAATGATAATAATTATACTATTTTTTTTTAATGTTCTTGCCAATAAAATAAATAGAACAAATCTTGAACTTTATAAGGGGAAAAAACAAAAAACCAAGGACTAGACTCCAAATACCAGATTCCCAAGTACTTTCATGCAAAAAAAACAAAAACAATGAATTGCCTACAAGAGGGGGATCACCTCACTGCTGCTGCTCTCTCAAGATGCTGGATGTTTAGTGCTGTAATAGCCTGCCTTTCAGACCTTCTAGTCACATGCAGGGAGGAGGAAGGAAGGAGAAGAGGCACACTGAAGCAAAAAGTATCAGCCCTAGGTACCAACGTGGCAGTCTGTATCAAGTCTTAAAAATGTTTATATCCATTACCTCAGTCATCCCACTGCTATGATTTATAACACAGGAAAAAATATAAACACAGAAAAATATCATATAAGGTTAATCACTGTTACTTATAGCAAAATAATAACCCTCAAAAAAATTGTAAAAATGTTAAATAATTGAGAGTATATCCACAATCTCAGGTGTTTAGAATTAGATTTACAAAGAGATTTTAGTGATGTAGAATGATGCTTATGATTTTGTAACTGGATACAAAATTATTAATACAGTCTGAACTATGTAAAACTGTGCTCGCGTGTGTGAACATGCTAAAAGGTCAATAGCAATAATATTAACAGTTAATTCCTTTCATGTTTTTCTGTATACTACAAGCTTTTTTAACAACACATACCATGTTTTATTCAGAAAAAAAGTATTTTAAAATGTCACCAAAGTTTTAACAATCTCAATAACTAGATCATTTTTGTCATATTACTGCTGTACACGTGAAGCCCTAGCTCTAGCTTTTATACCAAATTTTTAAAGAACTAGCCTAAATTTTAAAATCACTATCCTCTAAGGTCTTCTAGACTTTGTAGACAATGATAAATGGCTACCTTGTTTTACAAAGAGAAGCCAAGATGTAGTAGAGTACTCTCCTGGGTCCACTATTAGCTGTGTGAAGTTGGCCCCGTTACTTAACGTCTCTTTAAGCCTGAGTTTCACTTGTAAAATAGGGATAATAACAGTACCTGTCTCATAAAGGTGTTGTGAGAATTCCAGTGATACAATGTATATACAGTGTTTACTACACTGTCTAGGACAACTCAAACACTGAAAAATGTTAGCCACTATTATCACTCAAGATCTAACCAGTTAACCATAAATAATCTCACAGTGCCAAATCCCAATTCAAAGCTTAATTTACATTGAAAAGGACACAGAAAGCAAAAAGCAATATCCACGAAAGCCTAGTCAGAATCCAGAAGACAGACCCCAACTCCAAGACACAGACTGTACCCAACTAAGGAACCATGCTTCCTGGATAAGGAGTCAGAAAGCAAGGTGCTCAGGTATGTCAGGGGAGGTGGTAAACACATCATAAGACCAAGGGCAGGGACAGAATCCATAGGATAGGAACAAACAGCAGGCCTGACCCACTTCTACAGCCAGAACCCAAGAAAAGGATTTTAAGGCAATGAAAGAATCCACAGGCTGCTGAAGGTTTTAGAAAGCTCAGTATGTCCAAGGGCAATCATAAGGAGAAAGAAGTGAAATGTGAAATCCCAGGCCAATTTCCTCAAGAGAGAACCAATCCAGAGAGGCCCCAAGAACCATCCATTTACTTACATTTCAGTGCAGCAGCCTCACGGGCCACCCTTATTTCAGCCCAACGGAAAGTCCAATAATCAACGCTAAAATGCCCAGCAACACAACCACTACCACAATGATAATTATCAATTTCTGGAGAGAGGAATAAGAGAAACAAAAACATCATTATTACAAACAACCAAAAAAAAAAAAAAAGTATCCAAAAACCCAGCCCATCCTTTCCTCTAGAAAGCATCTTAATGATCCAAATAAGGAGGCTTCATCTCTACATAAAGACATCCTCATGAGGATATTTTACATTTCTTAAATCCTTTGCTAGCAATGCCAGCAGATGGGAGTAGGCAGTTTCTACTCGGCTCCCAATGAAGTCTTATACACGCTGACACTTAGACTTAGAGGAACTATCATGGGGTGTCTAAGCAGCAACCAGCCAAGATACAAAATGACTAATTTTTCCCTTTCAAGAGGGAGTCCAAAGACATTGCTGATATAGTCCTACATTCACATGTCTCTCCACCTCCTTCCTAAAGTAGACTCTGACCTGTCAGACCCAGCATGTTGTCTGGGGACCAGAATGCAGGGTTATGGTCCTGTTCTGAACCAGCCTGGATTCACCATATAAAATAACTTCCTAGCTCCCTAATCTCTGCATAAGCAACAGGTAAAGTTGGAAGCAAAACAAAGAACCGAAAGCAAAAATATCAGAGCCCGAGAGGAATAGTCAAAGAATAGTCCAAAAAGCAGAAGCAGCCAGAGCTGAGGACCCACAGTGAATAAGTGGAGAAGCTCACCAGTCCTTAAGCAGCAGGGGTACCAGAAAGCTGAGCAAGATGGTGTGGTGGAAAGAGCATGATTGGGATCTGAATTTGAATCCCAGCTCCTATACTTACTAGGTGGACTAAAGCCAACTACTTAGCCTCTGACCTCAACTGTTCCATGTATAAAGTAGAAAAAATAGGTGCTTCATAAGATATAATATTTACATAGCAATTAGCACAGTGCTGGTTACAAGAAGAGAAAAAGACAGAAAGGCTAGGACTAGTGGAAGACAATGAAGAGAAAGTTTCTGAAGAGCAAAAGAGTCAAGTATAACATCTGAAAGCTTCATGAACCATGTCCAGGAGAAGATTAGTAGTAACACCTAAGCAATGAGTCAGTCCTACAGAACAGCCTTCCTGGTGTGGGTTCTTGGGTTGCAAGCATGTGAGCCAGATCCATGCAAGGCACACCTGGGAAGGAAGGGCAGCTAGTCTCTGGGAAAGGCTGACGCTGGGGTTTGGATGAGGCCGGGGCAGAGAGGGAAGGCATGGGCTCCAGGGCATGGACAGGGAGGGAGCAGAGAGAGGATGGGCCAAGCAAGGCCAGCCAAGATGAAGGCGCTCACCCTCCGGGCTTCACTTTGATACTTGACAGCCTTTTTGGTATCTGCCACAGCCCGCTCCACGAAGCCCACTGACTGGTCCATGTTGTTCTCAATACGGTCAATCATGGCTCCCTTTCCCCAGATGAAAGAAGTGGCAGCAGCAGAAAACAGAGATGCAGGGAGACAAACAGCGAGAAATGGCGAGCAGAATGGACTCTCTTCTCAAAAGGTGGGGTAGAGTCTCACCTTGCGGGCCTGACTCTGGTATTTCACCGCTTTTTTAGTCTCATCCCGGGCCTTCTCCACATGGTCCACTGTGTGCATGACGTTCAACTCTATGTTATCTAACATCTCACCCTGCAAAGAACAGATACGGGTCACACTCAACAGAACTCACGCCAGAACGGTCTTAGCTGATGTGGGGAAGGGATTCTCTTTCTTATAACCTTCAGTGCCAAGAGGAGCACCCAGATACCTGGAAGGATAGTCTACCAGAAGCATCCCCATAGGGCACACTAACACTTCTATGGGATTACCAGCAGTCCCCAGTCCCTGATGGTGATCCCCATTCCAGAAACATTCACTGAATTCTTCTCTGTGACAAGCCCTGCACTGGACACCTGGAGCATGCTGTCCAGATGTCTGGTAATGCATATGTATATTGAGAGATCCCTGCCCACACCTTTTTTACTTAAGCACATGAGGAGGAACCAAAATAAGAATACCTCATATTCTTAGGGCATCACTAGGATACTGGCCTCTTCCTGGCCAACCAGACATGGATCAAGGTCATTCAGCCCTGAACTGATTCTGTTCACTACTGCCTGGCACATAGTCCCAAAAACTAGTTGCCATCAAGTTGATTCTGACTTATGGCGACCCCATGTGTGCAGAGCAGAACTGCTCCGTAGGGTTTTCAAGGCTGTGACCTTTCAAAAACAGATCGACAGGCCTTCTGAGGAGCCTCCAAACCTCCAACCTTCCAGTAGTCAAGCGCTTTACCGTTTGCACCACCCAGGGACTCCTGGAACATAGTGGGGGCTCACAATATCTGAGGTTGGGAACATCTGCTTTCTCTAAGAGACATCCCCAGGCCACAGAAGTTGGGTTACCCAAGCCATTTATTTGGTTATTATCTTCCCCTTTAAACAGTGGTCTCTTCATATGATTCCCAACTATTTCCCAGCTTTTACTTCAGATAGGGAAGTCTGGTCACTCCTTCAGCTAATTCCTGGGCATTCTGGAATGGGAATCCCCCCTACCTACCTAGATTTTCCTCAACCCAACCCCACCACTTTGTGGCAGTCTGTAAACAGAGAAAGGCACTTACCCACCATCACCTGAATCTCAAGCCAGTTCCTCGGCAAGGCAGTGTGGGGGAAAAAGAAGAGTGGGGATAGAGGGACTTGTTCTCAAAGGCCAGAGGGGTTGGGGCACAGCACCTGGGCCCTGAGCAGGGAACTGATACAACAACCAGTCAAGCAGAGCTCGGGCCTCAATGAGGTCTTGTGGTCTAAGGAATCCCATTCAGTTTTCAACCCTATTCAGGTGGCCGAGCAATTGCAAATTCACGGTATTAGTGACCCAACACCACTGAACCTCTGGCATATCTAACTGTATCATCTGACTATGTGAAACTCACACCATATGCAGGCCATCTAGAATCACAGCCCCGCACAAGTATGCCTGAGGACAAGCTGGCAAACTAAGCACCATGTGTGTCTAGAGTTGTTTCTGTAAATATTAATCTGCTATTCCTGGAATCATTCATTTTGTTGCCTACTCGTGTTCCTTAGCAAAAGTATAAAAAGGTTTAGAAAAACACAGAAAGGAGGAAAAAACAGAAATGTAACAAAAGGAAAACCTCTGTTAAATCCAAGTTTTCACTGGGAACTTGGAAAAAGATTACCTGTCTTTTCGATGTCAGCAATAAAATAGTTCATTGTTTTAAGGCATCATCATTCAGAACCATATCTCTAATGAAAAGGACAGAGGTCCTGAGTCCACAGGGAACTAGGAACTTGACAGAGCATATCAGACCCCACACTAACGAGCAATGGCTATGAAGCCAAAGTGCCAGGCAAGGCTGAGATCCCCCAAAGGGTCAGCATTCAGTAAGGGTGCACACCTCTCGCTGGAATGCTGGGATTCACTTACCCCATTATGCAAATCTCCATTAATGCTCCCAATCCACACCTGTTACCAGTATTCTCAGTTCTCAGTTCTCCTCCTCCTGGCTGTTCTCAGGAGAACCTGAGCTCGCCTCGCCTCCCTCCCAACACTGGGAGTCACTGCTGGTTACCTGATTCTCCACCAGCATGGCGATGTCCATAAACATGTCGTGAAGCTCCTTGATGCTGCTCTCCAGCCTCACAATGTCCTTGTGCCGTCCCTCGATCTCACTGAGGGCTTGCCTGGAAATCTGGGAGTCGATGATCTGCCACAGGCCACACACAGACCGTCAGCCACCTTGCACTAAAGGCCGTGCCAGTGCCACAGCCCTCACTCACACACCCCTGAAGAGCTTCTCCATGACAGGGTCTTCCATCTAGCCCCCAAATCACTCACCCCAGAAGTGAAGATGGCAGGGTTTCCACTTTCCAACATCTCCTCCAGCTCCTCATCTGTTGTCTTTTTGCCGGCTTTATCACAAAAAAAAGTAGAGTGTCAAATGTAAGATCAAAGCACACCATTTCAGAAGTTCCTTAGAAGTTAGAAATATGGTGATTGGTGTGATGTATTCCCTTATCTGGCCTTTGCCATTGGTGTTCTGAAAAATAACCTTAGGCAATTTCCTAAGTAATTAAGGCATACTGAGTACATCTGAGCATTTGTTAGGCGCTGGTCTGGCGAGGAAGCCCACCTGGTAACTGATAATGAGCCCGTGGACTGACTGATAAAAGCCCTGGAACGTGGGGGCTCAAAGGGAGAGCTTTTCTGCTCCAAGAACTGTCTGGGTGGTGAAAGGAGAGACATGCTCTCCTTGGGAAAATGGAAGCTCGTCTTCTGGGACCCTTCCAGACTGTGACCATGTACCTCCTCCTGATGCTGATATTCCTTTACTCCTAAGTTGTATCCTTCACCCTAATAAACCACATGACCATAAGTGTAGTCCATGAGCTCTGCAAGACGTTACAGCAAATTATCAAACCTAGCAGAGAAAGGGGGGTGGGTTGGGGAGGCTGGCGTCAGAGATAATGGGTAAGTGGGAAGTAGAGATGGGACTAATCTCCACATCTTGGGGACTGGACTGCTGGTCAGAGAAGGTGACTTCACTATAAGGACCATGGTCTATGTAACACTCCCCAATAGCCTCCTAACACTTCCTCTGATTTCTCCCCTAATCTAATCCATATTAATCTAATCCACATTAGCAACAATTATCCTCCTAAAGCACACATCTGACTGCATTACTTCCCAGCTCAGAAGGTTTACTAGTCCCGTTCACTACGCCACAGAGCCTGAGGTCCTTAGGATGATGTGCCAGTTCCTACATGGGCCCCCCTGCCCTCGATCCATCTTAACCTTACACTGTTGCTCCCAAACACAAGCTTTTCCCAGGCCCTGGACAACCTGCCACTCCACACATCTGCTTTTCCCTGATGAGGTGTTTGTTCATAGTTTTCTCCCACTTGGAGCACATTCCACCCTGCCAGGCCCTGCCTCCCACTTTACTAAATTCCTCAAGGGTGTGGCTTTATTCATTTCTTTATTTCTCATAGCAACTCTCACTGCACCTTTTATTTCATAAATGTTCTTTGCTGTCAAACAGACATAAAAAAGGATTTAATGGGGTGGTCCACAGGAGAGCAATAATTTTAACAAATGTTTCCCCTTAACATATCAGGAAATGTCGCATCCCAAAGGAATAAAATTACTTAGACCTGATAAGCTTTGTGCCAACTTTCAGCCTAAGACACAGCATCAGGATATACCGATGCTCTAGTCTGTCTCGGGCTTGGGCACAAAATATCACGCAGAAGCCACACAAGGTTGCTTTCTGTTCTCCCGATCTCACAGCTTGGGATGGACAACCACATGGCACGAACAAGTGGAGGGGCACCCGCCAGACGTCAATCACATACTAATTTCGAGTTGTCGCTGGATTCTCCCTTTGCTGCGTTCTCGGAAGTCCACCTGAGCCTCATTGTATTTGGTCATCACCTCCACAAACTTCCGGGAGAGGACAGAGTGCTGTGGGAACAATGTACAGTGTAAGCCCATAAGGGAGGCGAATGTCCTTAACTGCTGTAGAACCCTTGCTTGGCTACCACATAGCCTACTCTCTGGCAGCACTGGACTTGAAATCAAAAGACCAGGTATGAGACTCAATTTTTTGGTTTCCTAGCTTTGCTCCATTGAGAGTCTGCTGACCTTTCCAAAGCATACTTTCAGTATTTGTTTACCTGCCCTGCTGCCCTCACACCATACCTGTAACAACAAAGGAAATAATCTCTGATCTACAGCCCTGCATCCATATGGTCTGTGAGCGTTCTGCTGGCACCTCCCTTGGCTTGCTTTCTAAAACTGCTGCCAGACTCCCTTCCCACATAATACCTGCCAAAGATCCTTCAGTTCTTAACCTAACTGATCTCCTCAACCTTTCTAGCTCATGCCTAGATGCATTCTTTCAACAGCCATAAGATTGCCCTAGAGGCCTAAGTTCAAATCTTCAATATTTTTTATTCCTTGCCTACTTCTCAGCACCCAACCCTGCTGATTTCTCCTTTGCAAAAATCACCAATATTCACACTTTTTCTAATCTCTTTACCACCATGCAAATTCAGACCAAAATCATTGCAAAAACCAAACTAGGGACCTACCTGACTCTTGACTCTTCCCCATTCGGATCTAGTTTTCAAAAGGCTGCCAGATTATCTTCCAATAATACTACAGCCTGAAGTGAATGCCTATAGGCTATTCAATCATATCCAAATTCTCTAGGCTGGTATTCAAAGACCTCTAAAGAGGTGGCACTACATTAGCTACCAAAAAAATCAACTCCCATTATCCCAAAACAAACTTTTTCCCCTGACAGACTGGTCTCTTCATTGTCTGCCCTGCTCCGCTAACCACCGCCACGGCCACCAGCATGCACACGCACCCCAAACCTGCTCTCATGCCTCTAAGAAAAGGGAAACTCTCCAAGCCTGTCCGTGTAGGTACTCTTGCCACTTAAAAGGCCCAGCCTCCTCTGACTACCCACAATTCTCCCTGAGATCTTTTAATACTGAAAGCACCACGCATTTGATTATATGTCTTCGTACACTGTTCTCCTACTCGGTCTTGTGTAGTAAGTCCCTTACATCACTTGAATGTCATATCAATTCATTATGGATGAGGACTGTATCTTTGATGACCCTGAAGTACCTAGCTCCAAGCTGCACACCTGATGACTTAAAATCTTTAGAGAGAGAAAACTTTAATTTCCTCATCTGTAAAACATGGCAGG